AAAATATGGCTGTTTGCCAGGAGTGGGATAAACAAGATTTCAATTTTCAAAAGCATATATTTGGAAAATCACGTTTCACACAATGAGCTTTGAAGCAAAAAAAGGTAAAATGTGAAGGAGAGAAATTAGTTTGAAAACCGAACTGAAATTACTCAACAATTTGAACTTATTTTATATTATAAAGTAAAAACAGTTTATCGGAAAAAGCAGTTTATAGTTTAATATTAAAATGAACATTTCGAAACATTTTACGAAGCGATTCAGATTAAATTTTACATTAAATCAAAGCTCACAAAATGCAGAACAACATACCTACAGTACATATTTCGGAAATTCATGGTTATATAGTAAAAACAATTTTTCGTGTATTTTTGGCGTGTAGTGTCCAAAAAATATAATAAAAATTAAATTTATCATTTTATCGTGTTGTCATGGCAACACTGACGTAAACGCGAGCCTGCGTTCAAGTGTTAATCAATTAGTAATACTTCGTGTTAAATCAATGTTTGAAAAATACATGCGAGGGGTTGCTGCATGCATGTATTTCTAGTTAGATACGATTTCAGTACGCATGTTGAGCAGACCCTCTCCAATTAGACGATATATATATATATATATATATATATATATATATATATATATATATATATATATATATATATATATATATATATATATATATATATATATATATATATATATATATATATATATATATATATATATATATATATATTTATATAGTTCTCCAAAGAACGAAACAATATTGTTGTTCTGAGCAACGTTGTCCTGTATGTTGACGTCAATCTCAGTAATTACCCTTTAGCTCATGACAATTATGCAATTGTGACACAATTATGCAGTTATGCAATTATGCAATTGTGACACATACATAAAGGTTAAGTTCAACAGTTTAGGGCATGTTGCAGTTTAGGCCAATTAAAATATAGGGGGTGGATGTCAATTGGGACTTACAGTTCTGTTTCTATTTCCTGTCACGCTAAGCTTGTATTTCTGTAACAAAATATTTAAATAAATAAATAAATAACTATTGATCCAGGTTGACTCGATTAGTGCCAGCTGAGATTTCTACAACAATATAGTTCTTAAAATATTGTATAATGTGTATGCCAACAAGATTTTATTTAATTTTGCAGGCTTTAGGAGAAGATACTGACTTTTCAACTGTCCATACTATGACGGTAATTGAGAGATTTTTAGAGAATCGCAGCGATGGAATGAGGGAACGATTAATGAGGTAGCTATTAAATAGCCTACTCAACGTAAAAGTGTGTATTATATAATATCTGGAAAGCAGAAGGGAAAACGCAATGCCTCATAATATAACAACCTCGTTCCAGGCTATTGACCAGGCTAACAACCTCGTTCCAGGCTATTATAAACAGAATATTGACAAATTACAGTTAATTAAGAAATGTGATCACATAGCACCTGTTCTTAAAGAATTGGGATGGCTATCTGTTAAGAATATGTTAGAGAACAGGAATGCTCAAATTACTTATAAAATAATTAATGGTAGTGCACCACCATATTTGTGCAATCTCTTTAAAAAACGGTCTGACGTGCTTAATCGTTACACTCGTAATTGTAAAGATCTTAATATCCCAAAATGCAGAACAAGTTTGGCCCAAAGATCATTCAGGTATAGAGCTACAAAAATTTGGAACAATATTCCGGATAAGATAAGAGACAGTCAAACAATAACTATTTTTAAAAGGGAAGTCATGAACTGGTTACATACCAAATCTTAACAATCTTAATTCTAGCCGATAGTCTATAGTATTTAATTATTGATATATTTGTAAATAGGTAATTTAACTACGTCATTTGAGAATTGTAATGTATTTGTAATTGTATTTTATTGTAAGTGTAATTGTAATTGTATTTTTTGAGTATTTGATTATTCTCGTGGGAGACGAACACGTATGGGATTTCTTAAAAAGAACTCGATATTAAACTATTTAGGAAAAAAAATTGCATTAATTAGAGAACGTTTTCGTCAAAGACCGTTTTCAGTGTAGCGTTTTTTTTATGCCAAACTGAAGAAGGCCTTAACCGAAACTTTTAATTAATACGCTTTTTTAGTTTTGACATCAGTCAGTGTGGGATTTGTAAGAGTCCCCTCCAAGACCCTGTTGAAATGCCATGTGAGCATATATGCTGTATGCCTTGCGCAAATGGTTGGTTTCAGGACCAAAACGTATGTCCCGTATGCACGAAAGAAGTTGGTGGCGACTTCAAAGTTAAAATCAGTGAAAAATGCAGGTAAAGTGGATTACTGGATTTTTTCTTTATTGTTATTGCAATACGATCATTTACTATCATATCTCTGAGCCCTATTAATAGCCAGCTGGTCGATCATTCCCTCGTGTGCGCTGTAAATTGCCTCTGCCCTGGCTGGGAAAAATGCTAGCTTTCCTGCACACCATTGACAAAGCGGCGCCCTTCAAAGGACGAGCCATGTTATCGAAACCTCCCAACCAAGTCCTGGGGCTCAAACTATTTACGCCTCCACTGTTGACTGGCTTTCATGCACCGACAGTTAACTATCATGGTGTACATTTTTAACTTATAATTTTCGTTGAACGTGATTTCAGTTTTTGTGGTTCAATATATTTTTATTTTTGTGTCAATTTAAAGTGCACATGAGACGAACTTTTTCCTCTATTTATGCATCACTTGAAAAGATCTTGAAAATTATGAAGGATGACCTTAATAATTTATTCATTGCTCCGTTCCTCTCCAAGTTATCGGACATTTTGTAATTTGTGTTATTAGGCCACTGCACTGTTAATTTTAAGAGGTTAACAATATATCTCCAAGTAGAGTTATTTTAAACCAAATGTAGAGTAATATTTGGTTCTAAATAACTCCACCGGAGTTTAATTAACTCCCTGAAATTAACAGTCTTGTTTTGCTTAAGATGGCAGAAAAAAGTCCAATATCTCTGAAGTGATCAATAAAATTAAACGAAATTTGGCACAGTTGGTACGCACACCTAATGAACATTTTGAAATGTTTATGTAGTTGTCATAGAAGCACACTAGTTACCAGTTCTCCCTCTTCTTTTAATACTGTCTCCTGTAGACACATTGGAATGAAAGTTTCGTTTTCTGGAATAGTTTATATTCAGCACGGCAACAATGAGAACAGAAATATAAATGCAAATCACAAAATTCCTTCAAAGAATTAGGGAAAAAAAGGAAAGAGAAACCTGGTGACTAGTGTGTTGTATGACAACTGCATAGACATTCCAAAATGTTTGCTTAGGTGCACTTACCACGAACTGCACTAAATTTCATTTAATTTCATTAAAACTCTTTACCGACAGATCCCAATTACATAGAACGTCCACGTTCTATGACTTTGCTGGTTCATATCTTCGGTTCGGTGCATGGTATGAAGACAAATGTACCACCATTCGATTCAGTGGAAACTTTTGACGTTATCCGGCTACCGGTGCTCCTTATTATTGGCCATACATTGTGTGTGTCGCGCGCGCGCGCGCGAGTAAAACCCGATATTTTGAAAAATTCAAAATAAATATTTCTATTCGCCGTATTCAAACAAAACTTTCTACACGGCCTTTGAGAAAATAACGAAAAGTTTAGGAGATATTCAAATTATTTTCTCTAAATGAAATTGAGAATGTTTGGCCTAGAGTGAGTAAATGTATGATTGTTTTGGTTTGTGTAATGCTTTGACGGCATTTGACCTCCCGTTCGATAGGTTATTTTGTGAGGATTTCATTGCTGCTTTTGTTTTAAAGGGGCTGTGATATTCGTGAATACTCACTGAGATCAGGGCCGTTGCTAGGGCTTTGCCCGGAGGGGGAGTTACCGAATTTTGCAACTTAGCGTTTTTACCTGATTTTGCGACGCCTGCGAGGCGCCACCATGGTTGGTGCCGAGCACAAGTTTTTGAAAATTTAAAGTCTCTATAGACCGTCGGAAATGGCATTTTTAGAGTCCTACCCAATATCTCAATATTTTACTATTGCCTAACAATGAAGATAAGTATTGTTACTTACAGTTCAATGAGAGTATGTGACTATTGGAAAATTGAGAAAATTTTGGAAGTTTGGAGTCTCCAGATCGTCAGAAGGGTATTTGGCCATGTCCCCCCTGCCACGACGGCGGTAGGTATTTTTCACGTTAAGCCCTTCGAGTTAAGCTCCAGCGGTAAAGGGCGTTTCAGGGGCTTAACTCGAAGGGCTTAACTCGAAAAATATCTACCCCCGTCGTGGCAGGGGGAACATGGCCAAATATGGCCAAATATCCTTTCTGACGATCTGGAGACTCCAAATTTCCAAAATTTTCTCAATTTTCCGATAGTTACATACTCACATTGAACTGTAAGTAACAATACTTATATGCATTGTTAGGCAATATGAACATAAGGTTGTTTTAGTACTTCGAGTTAAGCCACGGGCCTTAACTCGAAGTCAATTAACGATTTAAGCATTCGATTAAAGCATTCGAAACGCGCGTATATACTCGCAAAAATATTGACAAATAAGGAGGGAAAATGTAAAATTTCAGCAATTTTAAGAAATATGTTTTACTAAGATCTCTCTCTGTTGCTTTGCCTACAGTTTTATAGAGACAATGATATCGTAAAATGAGAGAACTCAATAAGGAATTGTAAAGAACAGCTCATTAAGGGCAGCAATCACGGCTTTAAAAAATAAATCATATATAGCGGCACTTGCCGAACGCAAATCTTAGGCATGTTTATATGGAGGTGAGCTACGTTTCTAAGGGAAGCCTCACATATCGATTTTGTCCACGAGAAACGTCATATGTTCGTTTGGGGGTGGGAGTTTACAGCTGTGACGTTTCTCTGTAAAACATTAAGGAAAAATTCGATACTGTTTTCGAAAGCCTTAACATTTCGGAATCATCTTTGCAGAATATAAAAACGAAAACAACTTGATACAAACAACAATCCATACATTCGTAATACCATACCTGTTCTATACTTTTATATTATTACGCCTTTCTTGCATTGAAAACACTCAAATTTCAATAAAACCCGCTAAAGTTGTCAATATTTCAGGCAAAAAAATTTTTTAGAGAAACGTTGGAAATTTTGAAGTTTATATATTATTATTATTAAACAATCATATGTCAGCAGCAGATGACGGCTGAGCGGAAGCATCGCCAATAGCCGACCGCAGAAAATAGTAGAAAATTACCTTATGTGTACTATAAGAACAAAATATCGATAACTACAGTATGTGTGACGTTTGTAAGGGGGGGGAGGGGGTTGGAGGGTTCTCCAGAGAAACGTCCATATGACGTCTTTCATGGGTAAAATCGATATGTGAGTCAGAATCGATAGGTAATAGGTAAATAAATTATATTTCATAAAATTGCTGAAATTTTACATTTTCGCGATCCCTTTTTATTTGCCAGTATTTTGCGAGTATACACGCGTCACTTGTTTACATAAATTTTTAATTGACTTCGAGTTAAGCCCCGAGGTTTAACTCAAAGTAATAAAACAACCTTATGTTCATCGAGTTAAGCCCCCGTAAAAAAGGGCGTGGCTGGGGCTTAACTCGAAAAGGGCTTAACTCCAAGGGCGGAACTCGTAAAATACCTACCCCGCCACAACGCGCATCGACGTCTTTAGTTGGTCGATTGGTTACTCTAATTCTGATTCAGAGCATAGAGTTCACTTTTTTATGCCCTGAGAATATTACCTGAATTTACCTGAAAATCTGCCTGAAATTGCTCATGAGCAATTATAGGGGGGTGTTACAGCCAGCTCGCTCCCCCCCCCCCCGGTCGCTACGGCCCTGGCTGAGATTTTTACATTCGAAACAATTGTAATATTGTAATTGAGATTTGCCGGTAAGGAGTTTTAAATCACTTCTGAGATATTAGATTTTCTTTCATTTGCTGCCATCTTAAACACAACCAGTGACGTCATAACAGCAAATACAAAATGCTCAAAAACTTGGGAATGTGATGAGATGTGAATAAATTGTTAAAGTATTCTTCATTATTGTCAAGATGTATTCAAGTGATGCATAAGAAATGGGGGGGGGGGGATTTCGTATTATAATGCACACTTTAAAACTAGAAAATACATGCATGCAGAAACCCTGCCTTAGTGAAAAAGTTATTATATTTTCCGAACATGAAGTATTTAAAGTAGTTGTCATGGTAACGAGATAGTTTTATGAAGAATATTTTTATAATTGAAAAATCCCCTAAAAATATTACTTTTATTTACAAAACTATCAATTTCTCAAACATATCTATGTTAAGTATATTATTATGCCTAATATACTTCAATTCAATGTAAAATTCAACCACTTTATATAACTAAACTTAACCTTTATCTATAAACTTTGAGTTTGAAATAAAATGATTTTAACTTCTCGCATGCAAATTACTTTGCTTTTTTTTTATTTTAAAATTTTAATAGAATAAAAAAGAGTAATCAATGAAATATATTTGCAAGAAATCAATAAATGTTTGCTATTTCGCTGTCGTCTGTCGTCATGCAGTTGTTAGAATGCAAATTTTAAATTGGTGAAGTGTTCGCTGTCAGTGACGATGACCACCTACGCACAGTAACCCACGCCCGCGATGATTGATAAACTTGTCTAATGCTTCTTTTCCCCGGGGGTAAATAGCCGGCCGGAATTAGTACTTTTGCCCCGGGCTTACGTCGTTGTGCTTGGGGATTAAATTGTACCAGAAATAAATATTAACATTTTTTAAAATAAAATTCTTAATGCGGATTCGCATGAAGAATTTCTACATTTTGGGGGGCTAATGTAATACAGCAGCAGGAAACGTAATTAAGTTCTGAAATGTGATTTATTGCAATTCTTTTATTTTTGTTTTTTTCTTTCTTACCTGACGTTTATAGCATGCTAACATTAGGTTTTAATTTTCTTTTAAAGCCATGCTCTTGAGATCTACAACAGTTTTCGTAACCGCTGCAAGTCATTTTTCATGGAGCTTGTGTCGGTGTATTGCTTTGGAGAGCAGTTGCCAAATCCAGATCTAGTTCGAAAATTTATTGGCTACGTGATCAGGGACGAAAAAAGAACTGAAGATTTTACACCGTTTGGTGGACAAAGAATTGATGTCACGCCTGTTATCAGATCTTATATTTTACAGCAACTTCTAGTAGTAAAGGGGAGGTATGTTGTTAACACTTGTTGGTTGAACTCCTATAGATACGTAATTTAAATTAGCTCTACACTCCCACTCTCCTTTAAACAATTTCCTGACATATTTTTTAAATTTCGCCCATTCCACTCTAAACTCAAATCCTCTCCTGAACGTTGAGATCAGTGACATGACCAACAAATTAACCATAAAAAATAGCCATGCGCCCGCGATCATTGATCAAATTTTTAACCGTTAACTCTCCTTTTTTCTGGTTGCGCATAGCCGATCGGAATTAGTATTCCCACGCGCCGTTGGCTCCGGGAGGTAACCCGGGGTAGCGATCAAGATTGTCAAAGGTCATTTTTTTAGTCCGACCTATATTTCTTAATAAATTAATCCAAATATTACGAACATATTTTTCAGAGAAAAGGAAGTATACAAACATTTAGAAGAATACCTTCACGGTGCCAGGGGTTTAGCAGAACAAAGAGAACATTTAATTGAAGTTTGCGTATTGTGTGTACAGTGTATGGAGGTATATCCAGATAAATTATATACTTTGTACGTATAGAAATAATATAGATTATAATATATTAGTGTACACTTAAAGTGTATATGACTGATGAAATTTTTTATTTTCTCAAATGAAAGAACTCTTGAAGCTGTAGCTTGCAACCAACATCACGTCATAAATTAGCGGACATATTCACACTCATTTACATATCAAACAAATTGAAATATCTCAGGAACAAACATAAAAATAAGAAACTGAAAAATAAGTTACACTACAGCTTAAAGAGTTCTTTCATTTGAGAAAATAAGAAATTTCATGTCATATACACTTTAAGATTCAATTTTAAACGTTAACCCATTTTTGTGCACCCAACAATAACACTGGGAACAAGTTAAGTTAATGATATTTATATTTATATGTACTTCCCTGTGCACAGAAACACCTTGCAAAATGCCGCTTAAATCTACATTCGAGTTCAGCATCTGACTTTGTTAATTAGAGTTTCGTCGTCAACATCAAATACTGCAGAACCGTTAATTGCACTCAGAGTTGCACCTGCTAATATAAGGATATTTAACACAGCGACGTCTGCATTCACATTCTCTCTGATAAGTTCAATTGATCTATGTCCGCTTCGTTTCATAAACATTGCTGCTTCACAATGTATGCTTCGTTGGTATTTGCGGCCGTTCTGTTATCTGTAGCTCTCTCAACATCGCGTTCTGCAACAAACGAGAACGCTTCTCCACCATGCCCTTCGACTTCTCCAAAATCGAACAACAACACTTTGTCAAATTAATCTACCTCATATTTATACACACCTACACTCATGCATTCAAAATGTCTTTGTTCTCAAGCGAGTTTTAAACAATTAAAACTAATTGGATTTATGAAATTTAGCTTCATCAAACAAATTTCACTGAAACGTTTTTCTTTAATTAGTATTGATTTCTTTACCTAGGACGTGGAAACAGTGAAATTATTAAAAGCGAAGAAAGGTGGCGAAAACACACAAATCTTTTTGGCAAGCAAAGAACTGGAAAGAACGTTACGTACTATTCATGTTCACCAAAACTCAGTGAATGTCGATTGTCTTAGAGATATCGCTGGAATAAGGGCTGCACTGGATGTTCTTTCTACATATTTAGGGGAAGACTTTGTCAAAAATTTTAAGTGTTTAAAAGACCTTCCAAAGTGCCTTGAAACAGCAAAAGACCTGTGTAGTAATTCAAATCGATTTGTTTTGCAGTTGTTTCTATTGAAACAGTTAGTTCGCCATGACCCCAATGGGTTCAATGCTGTTAAAGAAAGATGTAAAAGAAATGAACTTAAATGGATTATGCCGCCACAGTCGGAGGTAATACCAAAACTGTTACTCCTCTAACGGTCTAGTCTTTAACGGCCCTGAGTATACTTTTGTTTATAAATACTATAAAACATGAGCAGCTGATCACATGCACTATTCATTTGAATGCAGTGCATGCATGGAAATTCCTAAAACTATCAGTCGTGTAGATTCGTAAATGATCGTGTGTTTTTACGCTAATCTAGCATTTATCTATAGAGTACTCTGTTTAGGCAGTCCTATATGATGTCATGTAGTCACTGTGGAAACATTTGCCTGCCGAAACTGATTGCACGGATATGTTTCTGTAAGATATCCGTACGTTAAGGTGTTATCAATACACCAATATGTTTACGAAATTCTGTATGACATCTGTACCTTATTAAGGTATTGTGAAAAATGACAGTTTCATTTAGGTGGTTGTACAACACGGTTGCTAAAATTTTCCTACTTTAAAATAACTTTGGCGTATACCAAAAAATAAACGTAAATACTCAGGTAAGAATGTGCTTCTCAGTCACCAAACGCTAAACTCATTATTAATTTACATTCATAAGCCAGGTTTTGACGTTTAGTAGAGCAGAATTTATTCCTCCGATAAAGCCCTATACGAATATACATGCAAATGCATGAATGTCTATAATTATGCTACCGGAAAGCATTTTATTAGAAAATTATCAATGAATCTCTGCATGTTCTCTGATGCTTAGAATACCTGATTTACTGTCTCTCCGACCAAACGTGCAGAGCAAGTATATCTGTTTCTGGTGTTTTTCTAGGAGCAAGATAAGACTCCAGACATCTTTCTCGTTCATCATGAGAATTATCACACTGTGCGGGAAGCTGTTGGCAAAGCAATACTTACATCTAACATCGATGACTTAAATGTAGTCATTCAAGTGAGTTATGTTTGTAGATTGGATCCATGCATAGGTTGCTCTTGATCATAGTTATCAGAAACCATACCTGCTTCTGCAATAGAATATTTCAGCAAAATACTTCAACTTTCTCCTTTACCAACGGTAAGGTTATTTTCGAAGGTGACCACAACCATCGATGCTATGTTTGTTTATTCAACAAATTACGCTGGCCAAGGGCAAGATTGCGAAGTGTATCCTGGCGTTTAAGAGAACTCAGAATCTGGCACAATCTTATTTAATGAACTGTGTTTAGTTAAATATTGAAGTGCACATTAGATCAACTGTACAGATACGGTACTTTAGATTTTGTTTGTTCTAATTTAGACAATTTTAAACTGAAGGAAGGGGGTGGGATTTTACGCTATGTAACGATTCGATTTTACGAATGTCAATAATGTAAGCCGTTTGCTGCATGTGACTACGAAAAGTGCCTAGAAAACGATTTTTATTTAGCATGTCTTGGAACTGACATATTTTTACGGGAACTAACACTTTCGAACACGCTGAGTTCAAATCCGAAGAATTTCCGCTCCGTAGGCCCGCAGTTTTCTCACAAACTGCTATTTTATCTCCACTAATTTCAGGCAAAATTTTATCATTGTTCAACGACAAGGTTAGATGAAGACACACGATTGCATAACTCAAAATGACTAATTCCTAATATTAACCAGTCTCGACATTTAATAAAAAGACCGTTTTTCTTGGGTCATTTTCAGTTATGTAATTTTACGCGCGTTGGACGTAAACAACATATCTTGTCTACAACTCGGCTCTATCTCTATAAAATCACAAGGGCGTTAATATTAAGTATTTGTATGGGCTATATTTCTGGGCTGAGAAATAGTTCCTTAAGACCCTGTCACACTATTGCGTATGAGAGAAACGTATGAGAAGCGTATGAAAATTAACGAAATAATTTTCATACGCACAAAAATCCTTTGAAAATGCCAGCGTATGAGTACCGTAGGCCTACATCTGACGTACCTCTAGCGTATTTAGCGTGTGCCTAGAGTATGCTTATCGTATAAAGCATACGTCCAATACGCACAAAATTTTTGAACATGCTTAAAAATAATTTTCTGCCTCGCCGTGCCAGCGTATGCCACCGTACGCGACCGTGCTTGAATCGTATACAACATATGCCTAACGTTACCCCTAGCGTATGTCAGCGTATACCGGCGTATGAGTGATATTTTTCATACGCTGGCATACGCTAGTACGATACGCAATAGTGTGACAGGACCTTTACATGCGATCAATAAATGTTTTATACAACGATGTAAAATGGTAATCCCGTGTAATGGTCAGCATTTAAATTTCCAACACATTTTCTGAGACGTAATTCGAGAGGTATATAGCTTATCATTGCATTTGAACTATTATATCAGTTCGTGTTATTCTGTGTGATAAGCGAATATTATTGGAAAGAGGGCTTCCATATATAGCTACTTTGAAATCACCAAATAAACAGCTCGTGCACACATTTTTCCACTTCGTCGTAAGTTTACAGAGCAGATTTTATCACTTTGGCACCGACCTTTGTTTTTGATGTGAGCATTTATTCCTTCTTTTAGTTTAAGGTTATTTTAGATTGATCCTGTCGTAAATCTTTTACCAGCAACCCATCGACAATATTTCATTTTAGCGTTGTTTTTGCCGTTACGTTGGCTTTGTGTTACTATTGTTTTAAATACCTTGATCGCGTTAAAAGAGTTATTTTTCAGGTTAGTGACATAGCCATAAGATTTAGCATTAACGTACTTGTGATTTTATAGAGACATTGCTAAAACTAAGGATTTTAGAAAGCGTTATATGTACAAGATATGTTGTTTACGTCCAACATGTATAAGATTATACATAATTCAAAATAATTCCAGCAAAACGGTCTCTTGTTAAAAGGAAGACTGGTTAATAGAAATTGCTCCTTTTGAGTGACATAATCGTATGTCGTTATCGATCCGTGTCGTTGAACAATGAAAAAAATTGTTGTGAAATTAGTGAAGATAAAATAGCAGTTTGTGGAGAAAACTACGGGTCTACGGAGCGGGAACTTTTCGGATTTGAACTCAGCGTGCTTGAAAGTGTTATTTCCCGTAAAAATATTTCAATTCCAAGACATACTAAATGAAAGTGAACGATATCGAGACGCAGCAAACGGCCTAATGGATCTCGTCGCCTCTTGAAATTAGAAATTTAAATCGTTTCTTATCACATCAAGAGTTACTAATTAACAATTATTCGCCGAAGGCGAGGTGATTATCGGTGAATAAAAACCGAGACGAAGTCGAGGTTTTTATTCACGATAATCACCGAGCCTGAGGTGAATAATTGTTTTAGTATAATTTCATAGGTGATTATTTGGAAAAAAATAAAAAAATGCACATTTCTTTGTCTTTTAATTGACAAAACGGCTTCGGCCGCCATTTTGAAAATCGCTTAGGTGATTATCGCGTAATAATCACCTCAACGGTAACCAATCAGCGTGGAGAATTTTCAATAATCACCTATGTAATTATACTAAATCATTTTAATCGGTAGGTTCGCTATCTTCTAAATAATTTATGTACTGTATATATATACTTGACATATTTCCTGAAATTTTATTCCTTTTATTGTATTATCTGTATTAGTTATCTGGCCACAAGTCTATTTTAATCACCTCGTGCACTTTTTTATTTATCTGACTTTAATTTCATTGTGAATATTAGCTACCACTGTATCCTTTCCTTGAGTTAGGAAAGTGGTTATTTTCTTGTAGTTTTTAATTACAATAAAATATGTATTTTACAGGATTTACAAGCTCAACCACCCGCACGTTCTTGTTATGTTTTACTGGCTCTGTTTCGTGAAATAACGACAAGGTTCGCACTTACGAACAAGGAAGATAGAAGTCCTGATGGGGTAAGTTGACTAGTTTGGTTTGTTTATTGAATGCGTATAATATAGAGGTACAAAAACATTAGAGTGGATGTGCATATGGATGATTCCAGCTATAGACGAAATTATTTTGATGTAGACAAGAAGAACGAAATCCATTATCATAGCTGCATGGAAAGAGCATCTTAAAATGAGCAAATTGCAAAGTTTGGTTGCGAATTGTTGTAAAATGAGGAAAACATAGCCCTGTGAAGTTCGCAAATTTTGTATATATTTGCATTATACGCGCGGGAAAAATAACCATTTTTGAGCCTAAAGTGGTTATTTTTACCGCGCGTAATACAAATATATACAAAATTTGTGAACTTCACAGGGCTGTATTTTCTTCACTTTACAGCATTTAGCAACCAATCTTTGCAGTTTTACTCATTTTAAGACGCTCTTTCTAGTTGTGGTGTTGGATTTCGTTCTTCTTGCCTAGATAAAAAATCACCCATTGGCAATTCCCATACAATTTCGTACAAAATGTACTAAAATTGGCCTTATGGTTAATTTTTCGAAACGAACGATAAAGATTAAATAATTTATTTTATTTTATTTTATTAATTAATATCACCGAGCATTTTGGAAAATAAAATTTCACAGGAATCAAACGCTTCGAATAGGCAAACAGGGTTATTTGATAATACAGACTTAAAATATACAGTGGATAGTTGAGTCACAACTAATTCGCTTCCATTCCAAAAATTATACTTCGTGCTAAGGATATATGCAGGTCTGAGTATTACTTAGCCAGTTTTATTTAAACATTCACTGTTTTCAATTTTATATATAGGGCCTTTTCACACTGAGATCGATCTAAAGAGATTGATTACAAAATACACATAACACAGACAACAAAATGCGAGCTTTCACGAGCTTTAGATTGATCCAAGGTTGATATTCAATTTTTCAGCCAATTTATATATACAATTATATAAATTTAAGTTAATGGAGCAATGCTCATTTGCAACCTATTGCTAAATTGGTGTTTTCATATTTATATGTTGTTGTTTATTACATTAAAATTGCACAAAGGTGCTTTGTCACTCAGACAGTACAAAGTTCATCTGCCTGCCAGGAGCTGCTTGTTTTTAAAATCTCAAAGGTCACTTCGTGCTCGTCACATGCATGCACAAGTGATGATACAACAGCTACCAGCCAATGAGAATACTGTTTCCTCAAACCGCCAAAACTGACCAATCAAATTCAGAATAGGCAATAGAAAACTCAAAGCATGCTCGAAAGATATCACTTTGTGTAAAGTTTGCAGAGCTATAGCATATATCAAAAGCTGCTCAAATTCTTCGAATAATCCATCGCGATGCCTCCCGTACGACGCGGTAGAACACGTGAAACAAACGAGGGAAGTTCGTCGCAATTAAATACAATGGATAACGTAGCGAATCTTCGACAACAATGCGCGGAGAAAGGTTTACCAACCAATGGACGTCGGAATGTATTAATCGCACGTCTGCAACAACATGCCGCAGCAAATGTAAATTTGCCGTCAACATCGTCTGAATCGCGACCAGTTATCCCAGAAACACAACCAGCACTAACGGAATCACAGCTAGCACAAATACAAGGTATAGTTTCTCGCATTGTGGAACAGTCCCTGGCAGAAATAGCGACAAACGTTTCAAGCCATGTCGAACTCGTCGCCTCGCGTTCCAAGTATTCCAATCGTTGTGGATGAAGTTGAAAGAACGGCCAACGCCAACCTTGAGACTGTGGCAACTAACGCGGTTGGGTCAAATCAAGCTGAAAACATCGTTCCCTACGGAAATGGATTCCACGAGGTCCCTGCGTCATATGTCAGACAAATCCAGACGGGTGAGTTCGTCGATTTGTCTAAATTATTGCCAAAAAATATGTCTCTCTGCAGTACATCGGAGGAGCCTATCATATTAACATTAGAGAACTCTGTGATCAAAGCCAAAAAGGCATCTCAGCCAACCACCAGGATCACTGAGATTGAACAGTGGACAACCGCGTGTACCGTTTACATGTTATGACCCATCAGTACCCAGGTCGGTCCCAAGAACTTCTACAATATATGAGTTTGATACGCCATGCAGCCCAAACTCACCGTGGTCTGGGATGGTGTATATACGATCATAAATTTAGATGCAAGGCTGCACTTAACCCCAGTACGACTTGGTCCATGATTGATCAGCAATTGTGGCTGATGATATTTACCACCAGCCCAGATATGCTAGTACAACAATATCCTACTTTTTCCAATGGACCCCAAAACCTGGCTTCCTCTGTGGGTGAACGAGGAGGCTATTGCCGCGATTACAACAGGTAGGGCTACTGTACTCGAGAGCCATGCCGATACCACCACGTGTGCAACAGATGTGGTAACCCACACCCGGGAAGTAAATGCCTCTTGCTCACGTCCATACCCGCAGACGATGAAGAGCCAACCTCAAAACGCCTCTCCAAATCCTCAAAGTCCAAACGCGAGTAAAGATACACCACTACCAACACCTGTTTCTGTTAAAAACCTAGAATTAGCACTTTCTGGCCACCCCACCTTTGTTTTGCAGCTCTGTAATAATTTTAAACAAGGTGCACGCATTGGGTTTCAGGGGCAACGCGCCCCAAGGTTTTCAAAAAATTTGCCTACCGCTTTTGCTAATCCGGATATTGTTTCCTCAAATTTGGCAACTGAGGTTTCTCTTGGCCGCATGGCTGGTCCTTTTGATACTCCGCCGTTTCAGAATTTTCAGATCTCTCCAATTGGCTTAGTACTTAGAAAAAATTCAAATAAATTTCGTATGATTTTCCATTTATCATATCCAAAATCTGGCTCAAACAGCATAAATTTCAGTATTTCGAAAGAGGATTTCAGTCTCCAGTATGTACTATAGACGATGCTATCGACGGTATTAAGCTATTTGGCCCAGGTTGCTTTCTTGCTAAAACTGACATCGAATCAGCTTTTCGACTCGTACCAGTCCATCCAGATGATTATGAATTGCTGGGCATGTGCTGGGAAGGGGAATACTATTATGATAAGGTCCTTCCATTTGGCCTAAGGAGTGCCCCTTCAATGTTTAACACACTCTCAGATGCCCTAGAGTGGATTCTACTCAATAAGTGTAAGATCTCATTTGTCTGCCATATTTTGGACGATTTTCTCTTAATTGAGCCTCCAGCCGCTATGCCTCCTTTTTACAGTACTTGTCAGCGAAGCTTAACAGACATGCTATCTACATTTGAAACCATTAATATCCCTATAGCCCAAGGGAAAACACAGGGGCCTTCACAAGTACTGGAATTCATGGGTATTTTGCTAGACACTATCAAAATGCAAGCTCGAGGCTTGAAAGGCTGCATGCCATTTTTGTGCAATTTCAACATAGAAAATCTTGCACACTTAAAGAATTGCAGTCGTTAATAGGCACTTTAAATTTTGCATGTAAAGTCGTCCATCCTGGGCGGCCCTTTTTACAACGCATGATTGCTCTAACAGGAAACGTAAAAAAGCAACATCACCACATTAAGCTTAATTTCGGTTTCTTTCAAGATCTTCAAATGTGGAAAGAGTTTATTCTTAACTGGAATGGTGCAAATTTCTTCCTGTCGTCTGAATGGCAGGATTCCAATACATTAGACATGCACACTGACGCTTCTGGTACACTAGGTTTTGGGGGTATTTTGGTACAAAGTGGTTTCAAGGAAAGTGGAGACCGCATAAAAAATTAGGCCAACCCGGCATTAGTATATCTTGGCAAGAGCTTTTTGCGATAGTGGTTGCATGCCAGATCTGGGGTAATCTCCTACATGATCATCGCATTACATTTCATTTCATTGCGATAACGAGGCTGTAGTAAGCATGATAAATACAAAACGCTCTCGAATCCCCAGAGTCATGGATCTACTGTGACACTTAACACTTTTAACGTTGCAGCACAATATATATATATGTGCTGTCAATATTCCGGGAAAACACAATGACATAGCCGATGCAATTTCTCGCTTTCAATTTCAGAGGTTTCAACATTTGGCTCCAGAAACAGACACCAGTCCTTCTCAAATTCCAGACATAGTCATGACTCTTTGATTAAGGACATCCAAGAGTATATAAACTTGTCACTTGCTCCTACAACACAGCAAACTTATAGCTCAGCAGGTGAAAAACGCTTCATATCATTTATCCATTTATATAAGAGAATGCAGGTTGAGCAATGTCTGCCTGCCGACGAATCACTGTTAACAGAATTTGTGGCATTTCTGGCTAAATCTATCAAATATCCTTCCATAAAAACATATTTGTAGCAGCAGTTCGTCATTACCATGTTCGCCATGGTTTCCAGCTAAATTTGCACAAAATGTTACGCTTGCAACTTGTGTTACGAGGAATTAAACGTTCCCATGGAGACCAAGTTAGAGTTAGCCTACCAATCACTATCCACCATTTGAAGCTTTTTACACTGTTGCTTGCGATTCCCAGCACACAAAAGTGTGACTCCCTGATGATCTGGGCAGCAATGACACTAGCCTTCTTTGGCTTTCTCCGTCTTGGCGAGCTAACATGCAACTCTAAGTATAATCCAAATATTCACCTTTCCCGAGATAGCATCGTTTTTTCACCAAATCTTGGCATAAAAAGCCCTCAATTTATGACCGTTCTCATTAAAGAATCAAAGACGGACCCATTCCGGCTGGGCCAT